TGAACAAAACTAGAAGATAAATATGTAAACAATTGACTAGTATTACAATTACGAAACAAAAAATTGCATGAAAGAAAGCTTGAACATGCCCTGTAGTGGTTTATAAATCTTGAAGTGATTAAAACAAACTAGGTAAAGATAATCCTTAAATCGAAATTGATAAAGAAAAATAGAATCAAGAGATGGGTTGTTATGGCTCTTAGCTCGATGACTTGTGGGTCTCCCCACTAAGCATATAATCATATATATCTATTGTTAAGTAACTTGACAATTCAATAATGACGACTATTTTTCCTGCAACACAGCCCTTATCTTTTGAAGGAGTCCCACTGCTTCATTAAAAGAAATGGAAGGAAGGAGAGAAGTTAAACATAACTTCTCTTTTTCTTCTTGATGATTAAAGCCGGCGTAACTTCAGTTAAAGAGAAAAGTGACTCTTTATAATATACAGCCATTGACCCAAGTGAAACAAAACAATTGGACTTGGTGGGCTTAACACGTGTTTCCGGGCGAGCCTAGTGAGGGTTTGGCTGAATTAAAGCTCAATAGTTCTGCAGTTTCAGCTTAAATTTGTCTCTAATTGAAGTCACCCCAAATTAACTTTTTTTTCCCAATTAAAAGTACAGTTTACCCCAAATTAATTCTTTTTTTTTTCCAATTAAAAGTATAGTTTAAGATTATACGAAGGATCGGTTCTGTGATCTTTCACTTTTAAAATAAATTTTATATCATTAGGCCACAACACTATTATTACTATGTTACCAAACACACGTAATACCATTTTACCTAATTAACTCTTATTGTGTGTCACATTTGTAATTTCTATTGGCTTTTTTAGATATATATATTATTGATAATTATAATTTGTCGTGTTTGTGAGTTCCAGAATATTGCTGCTATCACTTAATATACTAGCATTGACGAAACACCGGAGCAATGTTCAGTACGCTTAAAAGTGTTTTCTAATTAAAAAAAAAACAGAGAAAATGTAACCAATAAGAGTTGATCCAATTGGTAAGGAGTCAACTCATAACCCATAAGGCCTTGAGTTTGAATCCTACTGTCGATATGAAGACCTTGTAAGTTGGTGATCTGTAAGTACCTTTCTAACAGTTCTTTGAGTTTAAAAGCATATATTAATTTTGATGAGCTCTCAGAACCTAACTCATTTAAACTTTTTTGTACCAAAAAAAAAAAAGAGAAAACGTACTGCCTTACAACAAACACAATCATCAGGTACAGTGCACTCTTTCATTTCCTTTTGGGGGGGCATTTTGGACGAATCATACATTGTTTTATTTAGAATACTATATTTAAATATAAGAGCTAGTTAGATATTTAATTTGGTTCTAAATATAATATTTTAATATATTTTATCTTTCATATTTATTAATTTTCTTTTCAAAGCAGATTGCAAATATTAAAAGGATTTCATCATAATGTATATGATTAAAAATAGCATTTTATAGAAGACAACATTCATTTATTACGAATGACTAATTTTCACCATAATTTCTCTTTGCAAAAAAGTTATGAGAGGATTTTCGTATGTAGGGAACAGGGTAGAGTGAAAAGGCATAGCGTGGATTTTTATTTCATGATTTTCCCATTCTTTATTAAATTTTTTTTCTTTCCTCACTCTTTATAGTTTGGCATTCCCTTCGAAAAAAATTATTTTTAGGAGATAAAATTCTTACCATATACTTTCCCCATTCATTTGTATAAGATCTTGCTCAGGTTCGCTGCAAAGTTAAAAGACTTGATACATAGACAAAAGATGCAAAGGAAATCTATAGTTAAAGCAAGAAAACCAATATTTATGATAATGGCACAAATATCTCAACATAAACAACCAAAATGAAGATAAACTGCATTGATGACTCTCTAATTGATTCTGATAAAAATATTTATAAAAATAAGACTCAATGAATTTCATTGATGTAACTTTGTGAGTGCGTCTCACTTCATTTTTTTTTTTTTTTGTCTTGCTAAATCTTTCTCTTCGAGTCTCTAGCTGTTGGCAGAGAAGTGCCAAATTCTAATAAAATTATTATCTCCAATTTTTAATATAAAAATTAAATAATTAAGTTAGAGATATTAATAAAATTAATTAATTAAATTAGTTATTTATAACAAATATACGCTACTCTTATTTGTATTAGAATGGAAACCTTGCAATTGACAAGGATAATTTGAAAAAAAAAATTATAAATTTGAGAGATAAAATAGATTAAGATGTTATATTTAGATTAAATTGAACCCTTAATTAGCTCTTATATTAAGTATTCAAAGTAGTTTATGCATACATGATTTAATATCTCAACCTAGTTAAACAACCAAAATCGACATAAACTGCATTGATGACTCCCATATTAATTTTGATAAAAATATTAATAAAAATATAATATGACTCAATGAATTTCTTTGGTGTGACTTATGAGCGAGTCTCACTTTATTTTTTGTCTTGCTAGATCTATCCTTCTCTTCCAGTCTTTGGTTGTTGGCAGAGAAGAGCTAAATTCTAAAAATAATATTTATATACATACATGATTTATTTAATTTTTAAGTGACAATAAATTATTCGTTACCAACCAAACCAAACTTGAGTCACACGGCTCCAATTACTGAAAAAGTTCTTCGAACATGATTTTTCTGTTCATATTAAGTTTCAACACTCACCCCCAACCATTATTGGCAGACAGTACTTAATTTCTTTCACTCCTTTTAAATATTTTCCAAAATGAGATGACATAAGTGATGTCAATGAGCTGTAAAAGTCTAATTCTGCTTTTGATATTTTCTTTCCCTGTCAATATCTGTAATCACTTTTATATTCTAAAGTCTAATGCGCCAAACATGTCTAAAAGCCAAAAAAAAAAAAAGGTTGTTCCCAGAATATCATGAAGTCATAATGTTGTGGTAAAGATGAAGAAAATTCATTTTATGGGGAGTGTGAAACCTGTTTTTTTCATAGCTTATATGGTCCCGCTTTTCCTTTTTAAAGCAATCTATTTGAAAAATAAAGATCTAAATGTCTAAAGAGGAAGAGATAACCGCGTAAAATGGACACGGATGAATAAAATGTAGCCCATTCTTGGAGCAAAATTACCCCACCATCTTATCTTAAAAGAAGATGCTCTTCGTTGCGGAAAATGATTGTCTAAAATTCAATGTTCTTTTACTCTGTTGATTATTTTTCAAGAGTTAACTTGTACTCCTTTGGTTTTATTAAGGTAGAGAGAGAAGATTTTACTTGGTCTTATTTGTAAGTCACCTCATTAAATTTTTAGCATGAATATACTATTTTGTTTTTCATTTATTATAGTATAAATAGTTATTTTTTAAGAAAAAATATATATATTAAATAGGAGTAAAGTGAAAAAGTTGTTATATTTTAAAAGAGTTAACGCAGTTTAAAATTTTTTTTTCCTATGTGAAATATACTGAAAATGTCCTGTAAATAGAACCATAGGAATATATTATATGCATATGCTTAAACCTATAAATTTTGTCACATTTAGTGTATTGGGTATCATACCTATTATTTTCCCTTAAATACACTTCATGCTTCTGTATGTGTGTGTACGTAGTTTTGACGAAAAAATGATCAAAACAAGAATGTAAACATGTAAACAATTGACTAGTATTACAATTACAAAACAGAAAATTGCAAGAAAGAAAGCTTGAACATGCCCTGTGGGGATGCTTATAAATCTTGAAGTAATTAAAATAAACTAGGCAAAGATAATTCTTAGATATTGATAAAGAAAAATGGAATCAAGAGATGGGTTGTTATGGTTCTTGATGACTTGTGGATCTCCCACTAAGCATATAATTATATAAACACACACACACACACACACGTCCATTGTTGAGCAACTTGACAATTCAATAATGAGTACTTCTCCTGCAAGACAGCCCTTATCCCTTGGAAGCGTCCCACTACTTCATTGAAAATAAGGAAAGGAAGGGAAGGAGAGAAGTTAAACATAACTTTTTTTTTTTTACTTTGATAATTAAAGCGTGCGTAACTTTAGTTAAAGAGAAGAAGTGACTCAATTAATATACTTATCTCTTTGCATTCATTATTTTAAACATGGCAAATTAAAAAAAATGAAAAAGTACATATTTGTATTTCCTTTCATACTGTTCGCAAAGTATAATTCATTCCATCCCTTTCCCTTCATTGTTACTTTTCCATTTTCAGTCATAGCTTTCATTCTGGGCATCAAACAAGCCCTCATATAAGATTATATGAAGATTGAGAAATGAGTCATGTTATTTACAATTTATGAATAGTATGACATATATGTTATATATATTATGTGATAACTCAATTTAGTGTAATGTAAATGATTTCAAGTATGTTAGGAAATTTTACTGTTATTTGAATAAATATTTTATATATCAGGGAGAGTTTAGATTAATTTCGACGGATTTTATCCATTAATTAAATTGAATATTGTACTAATAACAAAATTAACAAAAATAAGAACCGAGTTTTAAACAAATTTAAAATTGAAGGACCAAATGATTAATTCTTTTTCTATTTTATTAGGGAATTAATGTCAGAACAAAACTGACCGAGTGAAATATACACAATACACATGTATATTAAAATAAGAGGGTGAACACTCATCATGCTGTATTGATGTGCTTCTCCGATCCAATTGCATGTAATATTTCAAAAAAATTTATATTATAGTGTTAAAAAAAAAAGCGTGCGATAGGTTAATTCATGTAAGTAATTTTACTTTTTAACTTTTGATTGAAGTAACAAAAGACAAAAACCAGACATAAAATGATCATAGCCACCCATTATATGTTACAAGAGTTAAAACGATACATAATGCTGGAACCAAACAATTAATTCCCTTCAGTCTTATACAGTTCCCAAACTGATCACACATATGATACAAAAACCACAAGCTTACAAAATTTACATTAAAACGTCAAGCGCAACGCTTTTATACAATTGCAGACACACTTACACATTAAGTTCATTCCCTCATTAGTTGCCCAATTGTGATGGCGTGAAATTGATCCTCTGAATAAGATTTTGGTGTCCTTGCAAGCTCTATAGATACTTGTTCCATGGTTGGACGAGACTGAGGAGTCTCATTCAAGCAAGAAAATGCTATTTTTGCAACTAAGATCACATCATCTAGGATGGGTTTTGTAAGTGAAGAGAGACGTGGGTCCAACACATCACTTAACAACAAATCATTATTGGTTGAATTCTCCGCCAAGGATGAAATAAGCTCTGTTGGATGTGCACCCATAATGATTTCTAGAGTCAACACTCCAAAGCTATAAACGTCACATTTCTCGTTTGCTGTCATAATGAAGGCAATCTCTGCAATAGGATTTAATGTTATATATATATATATATCCATAATATAGCAAAGATTAATACTTTGAAAAGAAGAGGCAAAAAGGTAGTCTTACCTGGCGCAGCATACCCAAATGTGCCAGCAAATGTGGTCATGTTGTTTGAGTTAGGATTCAAAAACTTTGCTGTTCCAAAGTCAATGATGCGAGCTTCTTCGTAGTCAGAACCTAGAAGAATGTTCTTGCTTGATATGTCACGATGAACAATAGGAATTGAACAACCATGATGCATATGGAATAAAGCATTAGCCACACCTTTGACAACATTTACCCTCTTGTTCCACTCAAACTCAGTAGCTTGTTTCTCATTCTTTAGTATGATGTCCAAACTCCCACCTTCCAAGAACTCATAAACCAAAATGGAGAACTGTGAATTGGAATAAAACCCATACAACTTCACAATGTTACGATGTTTGATTTCTGTCAAAGCTTGAATCTCACTTGTGAAAGCTTTTTGGTTGGATATTTCTCCACTTGGCATTGAATGAAGCTTCTTTACTGCAACAACATCACCTGTTGGCAATTGAGCCCTATAAACACTTCCTTGGCCCCCTTTTCCGATGAGATATCTTTTATCAAATTCCTTTGTGGCTTCAATGATATCTTCGTACAATATTTCTCTTTCAAGACTCCATACAAAATAAACATCTTCTGGTGAACCTTCTCTATCTTTTCCTTTTGCTTTTTTTGCTATTCGAGCAAAGATGAAAAGTGCTCCAACAATTACTAGTAGTAGTATGGCCAATGGGAGGAATATTATCAACAACTTTTTGCTCTTATGGCCATGTCCATTTGTTTGTAAATCATGACATGAACTTAAACCATTCACATTGCCACACAAACCTTTATTGTTCCTTAATGCATCAAAGTTGTGAAAGGCTGGTTTGTTCGGAATGGGGCCTTCTAATTGATTATATGATATGTCAACTATAGACAAAGGTGACATTGATCCGCCAAAATCAGAAGGAATGGAGCCAGTGATATTATTATGTGAGAGGTTTAATACTTGCAAATTGGATAACATTCCAAGCCTGGATGGTATTTTTCCAATTAGCAAATTGTCACTAAGATCAAGTTGTTCAAGGTGCTGGAGTTCACCGAACTCAGAGGGAATGCTTTCATCAAATTTGTTTTTGCTCAAGTTCAAGACCCTTAGGGTTTTTAATTCCCCGAGCTCTCTTGTGATTGAGCCATTGAAATTATTTACTGCCAGCTCCAAAATTTCAAGTTGACTAAGCGATCTTATGTTTGAGGGGACATTACCAGAGAAGTTATTGTGGCTCAAAGAGAGTTCTTGCAAAATTATCAACTTCCCCAGTTCTTTTGGAATTTGTCCAGATAAATGATTTGAAGACAAGTTAAGTAAACCAAGCTTAGTTGAATCTCCTAGTTCTGGTGGTATGTGACCAGAAAGCCTGTTATTGTGAATAATCATCTGTGTGAGATTTTGACACTTCCCCCATCTAGATGAAAGTTGGCCATAAAATTGATTTTCACTTAGATCAATGTGATCTAAATGAGGATATATGCCAAAAGCATCTGTCATATTATCAACTAATTGGTTATCATTAAGCTTGAGTCTTTTTAGACTAGGACAATTCTTCAAACTTCTTGGAATCAGACCAGTGAACTGGTTACCTTGAACAACAAACTTATTTAACTCCCCACCTTGACAAATATGTTGTGGCAAATGGCCATGAAAATGATTATTCCCCAGTTGTAAATTTTGCCAACTTATATTATTGATTTCTCTTGGAAGTTGACCACTGAGATTGTTCACTAACAACACTAGATTGTTAAGCTTTGTCATGTTTCCTATAGTGGAAGGAATAGGTCCTGAAAGATTGTTATTATATAGATAGAGTTCGATCACATTGATCAACTTTCCAATGGATTGTGGAATCGGACCAGAAAACCTGTTATCAGCTAAGGCCAAGTGTTGGAGATTTGTTAGGTTTCCTATAGAGGGAGAGATTGACCCAGAAAGTCTATTCTGGTGTAACTGAATATCAATGAGAGAATAGAGTTTCCACAATCCAGAAGGAATAGGACCTGCGAGATTGTTCATGGAAAGAAAGAGTATTTGTAACTTTGTCAAATTTCCAATTGATGATGGGATTCTTCCCGATAGATGATTTTTTGGCAAACGAAGCACTTCAAGATGGCTCAACATTCCAATCTCTTCAGGAATGGGACCAGAAATCTGGGAATTTTCTCCAAGATTTAGGTAATTCAAATTCCTCAAATTCCCAATTTCTTTAGGAATTTGTCCTGTGAGATTACATGCACTAAGATCAAGATGTTTTAGAGTGGTTAGAGTCCATATTTCAAGAGGAATGGGACCAATAATTGAATTATCTGACAAACTCAACATCAGAATTCTGGACAAATTACCAATCTCATGGGGAATCTCTCCATAAAAATGGTTGTAACTTATGTTGAAGTGCAGGAGATTAGGAAAGGAAACAAAGTTGAGAGTGGAAAGTGTACCTTGAAGGCCAAGATTTGAGAGACTTATGTTAGTCACAGACATGGATTCATCACAAGAGATTCCCCTCCAGAATTGTCTACAAGGATTAGTGTCTTTATTCCAAGAGGACAAGGGAGCTTTGCTTTGGTTGTTAAAGCTATCCTTCCACTTCAACAGAGCTTTTGCTTCGCTATCTCCAGCAACAACAGGCGCAAAGAAAGCAACAAAGAAGAACAATGCTAGCAGCTTGGTGGAATCTCTTTCAGACATGTTTTTTGGTAAATTTTTGAATCAGCTTGGAATATATTTGAGGACGGAATATTAATGGCGAGTAAGTTGGTGGTTGTAAATGGTGGCTATCCGAGGCTTGGGACAGACCTTCTTATAGTATCGATTGGCATTTGCAGGCACTAATTTCTTGGTATAAAATAATATTTTGCGATAGACTTGCAAACAAAATTGACCGCAAGAAGATTAGCTAGCCAATATTGCTTTAACGAACACTATTCAAATACAGTTTTAATAATCTAAATTTAAAATTTTCAACTAATAATTTTAAATAAAAATTATTTTTTTAAAAATTTACAATTAAGACGTCACATTTGTTTTGGATTATGTGCTTATTAAAGAAAAAAGTTTCCAAGAAAACAAATATGTTAGAAGCTGAATCTTAACCATCCGTATTAAATTTGAATGGTTCAGATTTGACGACTATCATTATTTTCATCACTACGATGAGCATTGCAACTAGTTTCATGATGATCTGGATCTGTTAAAGTTTTCCTTTATTAAATTGACGATTTTTCCATTCCTTTCCTTTCCTTCTTTTTAACGGTTTTGTTTTGTTCTTAATTTGTCCACAGCAACAGGAACTCATCATCATTGTTTTTCCAATACTTCATGAAGTTCAGGACCAACTTGACTAAGAAGATCCGTTTGGATTTTATCTTTACATTTATATCTATCGATTTTACAAACACTGATTATTGTAATAATTAATTAATACTCTGGTGTTCTAATTATAAGCCAAAATTAAAAATCTTACTTGATCCAAAATATAGGGACACAGATGTAGTATTTATATTTCTTCCCCCTAATATTGCCCCTATTTTATTGCACTAAGTTAGTAAAGGTTGAAAGTGGAAAGATGCATAATTTTTTTTTTTTTTTAAGTTCGAGGGCAGTGAAGTGCCCATATCATTTTTTTAAGAATCATAAAGTAGTTAGGTGTGAAAGGAGCAAAGTTCCAAGCTCAATGATGAAGCGTGCGGGCATTATTAAATCAATAACGATAATAAAGCTTAAATTTGTTTTATCAACAAACTGTTGATTGAGATGGTAAATAGGCTCATTCTCATAAGAAGAAAAATACTAATTCGAATACCTATTGGGATGGTTTTAATTTTAACGTTGCCAGCGCAACAAATATTAGTTTTTTAATGATTATCTCTTATACAACAATAGAGTTATTCTATTTAATCTCGAATCATTAAAAGCCAAATTTCATACTGGGAAAGACAAATTTTTTTTTTTTTTCAATTCCCAGACACAAGGTCTAATCCTGTTCAAGGAATGGGATTTTCTAAAAAGTTTCAAACTTTTCAAAAACTCACTTTCAAAGTAACCTGTTTAGTGATTCAAGTACCTGATTTAACCTTTTTACAAAAACAGTAAAAACCATTTAAGACCCATAGTTCGCATTCAACCATCGAACCCATTCTTTTTCCATCCAGGCTTTTGAATTCTGTATTAAGTTAGCTATAGCCAGTAGGGTTTAACATTCAACACCATGGCCATTGGCTCATACAATGAGGTACATGTACAGATACACATAATTTTGGTCAAAATAGTAAATATATATCAAAATATTGATCATTTCCTTTAATAGCAGTTATTATGGTTTATCTGCCCTCAGCTATCTCCTTATAGAGGAATATTGACATATCAAAATAGATATACAATACATCTTCACTCTAAAATAAGATGCACTTTAAGCAAAATAAATATATATACACAAAAGATTTTCAGCTTCCTGCACTTTCAAGCTCCACTAATTACTACTCCCTTGCCCTTAGGAGTATTTGCTCTTACTGTATTACATGGAAGAAGGGGTGAGATTCTAGAGAATCTTAGTAGTAACAAATTTTCTTCACATAATCAAACAAGATTACAAACAACATGCTACATAGGTCAAGGAGAACAACACCTTGCATCTAAACATAACCAATGATGCACATATACCATATATCCATATAGCCAGTCGCTATATATCGCACCCACATTTCAAAATAAATGGAAACCAGCGCATTTTGTCATGACAAATATTATCATGCAAAGGCAACTTACGTGTTCTCATGCACAATCAGCATAAAGACACATCCAAGCATGTGACAATCAATGCACAATCACATTAAAAGAAAAGAATTACTACTTTTTGCTTTTTCTTCCGTATTCCCTTCGCCTTGTTTCCTTCTTGGCTCCTTTCTTAATGGATTCGAACAAATATCAAATCCTATAAATTATTTTAGCAAGGGCAGATTAATATATATATATATATATCTAGATATTCATCTAGTGTTACATTAACATATTCTGTATAATTTAAAGGGTTAATATAAATTTTAGTCCCTCAAATTTGGACCCATTTTGGTATTGGTCCTTGAAATTTAAAACCCATGGTATTGGTCCCTCAAATTTTATCCATTTCTGGCTGTTGGTACCTGGTAGCTTTAGGCCATCAAAATCATTTGAGTTGGCACTAGCTCTATTAACTTATGATGTGGCATCTGACTTGAGAGAATGAGGTTAACAATAGTTTGATAATGTGGCTTGCTGACATGTACATATAAACAATAGGGGGAAAAAGCGTCGGAGAACTGTGACGTGTCCGTCACCTGAGGAACATGATTTATCAACAACAGTTGAGGAAAGAAACAGTAATAGTAATTTTGGCAAGTTTTGCTAGTTGAAAGGTGAGAATCTATCATATATGTTAATGCGTTATAGTAGTAACTCGTGCAATGTGAGAAAACAAAGGTTGATTTTTACCGAGTTATGCTTGTTAGAGCCGTGGTAGTGTTTCAGTGAGCTCTGCATGTTTGTTTTTGTTAATTTTTTGTTCAATTGCTGTATATTTGAGAGGTGTGGTGCATTTGATCTTTACCCATTAAGTCGTTTAATGTTGCTGTTCTTGTGTACTGTGTGTTCAAGTATGCTATGTTCTCATTTCTTAAATGGGAAGACATCAGTATGATGCTTAGATGAATTTTTATTTCAATTGGTTGTATTTTGGAGCATTAACCCATTGCTTTGAGCTTTGACTGTGTTATTATGGATCAATATGGAGGGGTTTTTTTCTTTGTTGACAATGTATGCTCTATTTTATGCATAATTAACTTGAATGGCGTTGATTCTTTATGTACTGTGTTGCTCTGGTTCATGTGTTTTGTTTTAGATTATTATTTTGCTCTATAGGTTAAATATGGAGGAGGAGGAAGAGAGAAGTGAGAATTGTGAAAGTAGTGGAGAGGGAGGGAGTAGAACAAACTCAGTGTCTGATTTCTTAGACCTTGAGAACAGTGAAGAGAAGTAGATTGATGATTATTATTTTTCAGAATACGTTGATGTGGGAGTAAGTGATATGCTAGATGAAGTTGTTCGTAGTTCACAATGTATGAGAAAAGAATCGAATGAGACAGGGCAAAATAACACGGTTGAAGTAAGGGAGGAAGATATATTAAGCTTGTTATCTGATCATGAGTCTAAGGAAATTGTTGAAGGGGAAAGGTCAAGTGATGATGAAGAAATTGATCGAATATATGGAGAAGAAAGACCAAAGACTAGTTCTCTAATATATATTCAAGAAAAACTGATATGTCTTTCTTCATCTTCTTTAACTCCTCCAACATTAGATTCTCAACCGATGCATCAATCCAATCAAAATAATTGCATGACTATTGCTCTTAAAAGCCAAGCAAATCTAGAAGCCATTAAACAAAAACAAAAATTCATCAATCCATAAACTCAATCAAATTTGACAGGAAAAAATTATCAGCCACTAACCTTGTAATTTGGGCACTTAAGAAATCTTCTATCATAATTTTGTTCAATCCATGAAGTGAAAACTACAACATCATCCCCACATTTGCATTTTTCAGATCCTTTTTTTTGCCATCTGTTTACTCATGGTCAATGATTCAACCGTGTCATTACGTATTGGGGTCACATGCAATAAATTTATAACTGAATCTAAGAGATGCAATATAGCAGTGCAATCCAAGTCGTGTTCACTTTTGGGAGTATTTATTGATGACCTAAACTAGACTAAATGCAATGAAAACATGTAATTGAAAAGAGGTTTAGGTTTTAAAGATTTAAATTGAATTGTGACTAAAATAATGCAATAAAAATAAACCTAAGCTACTCTATTTTTGGTATTTTTGGATAAAGTGATGATAGAATGGAAATGGATGATAGGAAACCTCTTAAAAACGATCGTATGGCAATCACAGTTCACTTGAGATATTGGAAGTTTCACAAAACCATTAAGTTTTCTTGAATAACAGCCTCAATTACCAATTGAATTCAATGTTTAAATCAATAAACTTCATTAATGAAAATATTGTTAAGCTCTCCTTATGTGCAATTTGAGAATGATCAATGCAATTAGTCCATGTAACCCAAAATCAACTCAATATCAAAATACAACCATACAATATACGATAGAATCAAGAGGATTACATGAAACATATATGTAACCACATATATTGAAGCATAGAATTCAACATTAACTAATCTAAATTACAATTACAAATCATCAAACAATGATTATAGTAACAATCCAAGTATCCAACTGAGAATTTATAAACCCTAAACCTGGGAAACCATAAAAACATAGCTAAAAACTATAGATTGAAATTAGAACTCCCCGTTGAAGCTTGGAACTCATGCCACTCTACCATTTTCAAGAGTTGAAGCACCCTAGCCCACCATAGCCTTAAAAGCAGCTTCAACCAAAGTGGATTCTCTGATCATAGCAGCTAAGAATGGAACGAAATGGAATGGAATGGAAGAAAGATGGAGGAAATGAATCAGGCAAAAGATAGAGGTGGAGAGGCAAGAAGATGAGAGAATAGAGGTGTTGGGGATGATAAATGGCATGAAATGGAGCAGATAGACCAAAAATAGTTTTTCTACGGGTTTAGGGGGTAAATCTAGGCCGGATCATATGAGTTTGGGCTTTAACTTCACATTTTGACATGAATCCAGAA